CACACACACACACACACACACACACACACGCACGCACACACACGTGTGAGTGTCATTGAGTTAATGCTGAATGACTTGCTAACTAAAACAAGCTAATAGTAGCTAAAACCTAAATTTAGCAAAACAATGGCTGAGAGATAAACAAAAAAAACAAAACTGTAGCTGAATACTAAAATGACCAAAGCTAAAAGGTAAAATTAACAAAACCAAAGCTAAAGCATTAAGCCAGCTAAGCACGAGCTAAAGTCAAGAATTAGCTAAACAGCAGCTAAATGCTAAATTCATAAATAAATGTTAAAATTAGCAAAACAGTAATTAAAATTAACAAAACTGTAGCTAAATGTCAACATCTGCTGAAGACGAATTAGCAAAACAGCAGCTAAAGACTAAATGTAGAAGTTTGTAAATAAAAGCTAAAATTAACAAAACAGCAACTAAAATAAGCTAAACTAGCTAAAGGTCAAAATCCACTAAAGATGATTTTAGCAAAACAGCAGCTAAACAGCTTAAGCTCTAGTCAAGCTAAAAAAATACAATTAGCCAGTTCATAGCTAAAAGTAACAATTAGCAACATTATAAAGCAAAAAGTAGCCAAAGCTCATAGCTAAAGTAAAAAAAACACATTTAGAAAAACATGGGAAATTAAAGGTTTATAAATAAAATGTAATAATTCAAAAAGTAAAAAAGTTGCAAAAACCAAAAGTCACAGCAAGCATTTCCTGATCGAGCCAAAGGTTTTGGTTAAAACAGCACAATGACTGCATTGTTTGTTTGATCGTAGAGATGTACAGAAGAAAATAAAACTATACATAGGCAGTCAGTAGTGTGAATGCTGATAGTGCTGACTCAGCATTCAGATAAATGTCTGTCGCATTATGAAGCCACTGACTGCTGCCTTATCACACAGGCTACTACATCCTGGTGTATCTGCAGGGACATTTCCTCCACTGTATCAACACCAGGCAGCAGGAGACATCCTGCCTGTCCTTCTTCTTCTCTGGTAACTCAGAAAAACAGAAAAAAAAAAAACCCTTCTAATTTAAACCCAATTTGAAAACACTTTTGTGGTTTCCCCTCGGCGACGTTAAGGTGACGAGGTGAACCTGGGCCTGCTGTGCGAGCCCGCTAACGTCAGCGTGCTGCACGCAGAGGACCAGCCTGCTGGTCGTCTGTTGGACCTGACTGCTGGACGGATTCACACGGCCACGCTCAGCTCTGCGTACCTGCTGCAGATACTGCAATCAGACGCTCGTCCCGGGTCAGAACGCTTCACAACGCTTTGAGCTGTCTTCCTTTAGCTGCACCTTGCTGCTGTCTATCCAGCTGTGTTTTCTAAAGGGTAAAAGTCCTGTTTTTCCCTCTCTGTCCAAGATGTCCCAGCAGTAAGAGTGACCCGCAGCGCCTGGCTGCCCTCCACTGCCTGCTGGTTTACATGGGAAGTGACCCAAACCTGGAGCTGAAGGTGCAGACGCAGACAGAACGCACACAGATAAATGACCTCCACAGTGCACAACACTTACACTTAGCAACACATTTTCATCAATTATACTTTTTCTAGAGTGTAGAATTATAAGAAACACAGGCATTGATTGTTGCCAGACTTGGAAAAAAAACAACTAAATCAATACATTCTCTCTGAAGTAAGGGGAACTCAGAAGGAATGTAAGAAAAAACAGGAAGTGCTCGTCAGTGAGCTGACAGTGCAGCGAGGTTGCTGTTAGGCCCCTTCTCTCAAAGAAAAAATAACGTTCAACCAGGAATAATTACGACACAGAGGTAGAAATGTTGCACTCTGCAACAAGAAAAAAAAATCCAACCGACGCTGCAATAAAACAAGAGGGAAGAAGAGCAGGCGAGTCCAAGCAGAGTCAGAGACTGGTTCTTGCTGACTCCGACTAAGACTTTATMAGTATTAGGACTGAAATAAAAATGCTCCAACTAGATAGATAAAATAAATGATTTCTTCAAAGGTTATCTGAGTCACCAGCTTCGTTAGTGCACATACAGCAGAGGAATCAGGACACAGAAGTCTATTTGTTTGCTGCTGCCGGCCTCATAAAGTAAAGCCTTTAATAAAGCGATTGCTTGTTAACAATTTCTCTTTGTTCACAGGACTTTGTAACCTAAATTGAATGCAAATGAAACGCTCCCACTTCTTGTTTTTCCCTAACTCCACAGTTTGGTTTTTATTATTATTATTATTATTTTTTTAATTTCTTGACTCAAATATGTCTCATGGCAAAGACGTATTTGTTTAAAGAAGCTCAGAGACGCGGTGTTTGGGAGATTTACGAGGTGAAGGTTTTTCCTGACGGGCATCATTATAGTTTCATGTTTCTGTAATGCACATGAAGCGCTCTGAAGCTAAATAATTAAAACAAAACTCTTATTGGAGGCTGAAATTGCTGCGATWTTACCCTGTGACACAAAGAGAATCTGAAACTAATAAGAATGTAATATTTTTTCTGAGTTAGTTGCCTGTTATTTAAAGTATTTGACAAAGCAGTTAAGTGATAAATTTATAAGGAAGTCAGGAGAAGGTTATAAGCATTCTTCACTCTGGAAGCAGGAATATTTGCAGCTCATTAGTCAATTTCAAAACAAAGCAAAGCATAAAGGCTGTAAAATAGACTGGCTCTGTAGAAAATGGGCCAAAATCTATTCAAAGTTGAACTATATGAATAACTTTAGCAACTAAACTGCTTGATTCTGCTATAAAAAGTAAAAAAAAGGTGAAGAGAGTTTAAAATCCTTTGAGCACCAACTGAATTAGCTTCAAAAGTAGATAAAAACTACTTCTTTTTGTTGCTTTTTGTAATATTCGTGTCTTTCTATTTTTCTTCTAGATAACTGAATGGCTGTGTGACAATGTGAACCCCTTTGAATCGTTTGATCAGATTCAGGAGTTCATCTTAGGTAGGTGGCAGCTAAACGCCCAGGTCTCAACATTTATCCTTTTACAGGCTTGTTGCTCTTTTTCCACTTCTCATTAGTCCTTGGCAACTCGACTGCTTATCTCTTGTCTACACAAGCATGAATTCCTTCAACTGTGTTTGCTTTTTAAGATTCTTTTTGCAAACTGGTGCCAGGCATCCCCTCTCTGTGCAGAGGGAATTTTTCCCATAAATACAAAAAACAACACATTTAGTTAAGTATGCATATGTGTCTCAGCATGACCTTGCATTGTGTGCATGTACTACTTTTTCACCTACAGAAAACATCGTTGAGAATAGATGATCACAGCTGATTACAAGGCTCTGGCCTGAATATGTTTGCATTTATTAGTATTTAAATCACTAATAGAGAGGTTACTCTGCAACACGATAGTACGGTCTTTATTATCTTAATATTTGGGGGTCACAATACCTGCTATACTTTTCAATATTTGCAGAATTTATCATATTTGATAGTCATTTCAGTACTTGAGATCCATCACAATAATTAATATGCATTTAAATATTCTGGGAATTTATCGCAATACCTGATTCACATTTCAGTATTCACTAAATTTATCATGATACTTGATATAGAGTACACTTCAGTATTCTGGGAATTAATTGCAATACTGTTATACATTTCAGTATTCTGGAAATGTATTGTGATGCCAGATACACATTTCAATATTCTGGGAATTTATCATGATACCAGATACACATTTGAATATTCTGGGAATTTATTGCGATACTGATACACATTTCAATATTCTGGGAATTTATCGCGATACTGATACACATTTCAATATTCTGGGAATTTATTGCGATACTGATACACATTTCAATATTCTGGAAATTTATCGCGATACTGATACACATTTCAATATTCTGGAAATTTATCGCGATACTGATACACATTTCAATATTCTGGGAATTTATTGCGATATTGATACATATTTCAATATTCTGGGAATTTATCCGATACTGATACACATTTTAATATTCTGGGAATTTATATCGATACTGATACACATTTCAATATTCTGGGAATTTATCGCAATACTGATACACATTTCAATATTCTGGGAATTTATATCGATACTGATATACATTTCAATATTCTGGGAATTTATCGCAATACTGATACACATTTCAATATGCTGGAAATTTATCACGATACTGATACACATTTCAATATGCTGGAAATTTATCGCGATACTGATACACATTTCAATATTCTGGGAATTTATCATGATACCAGATACACATTTCAATATTCTGGGAATTTATCATGATACCAGATACACATTTCAATATTCTGGGAATTTATTGCGATACTGATACACATTTCAATATTCTGGGAATTTATATCGATACTGATAAACATTTCAATATTCTGGAAATTTATCATGATGCTAGATACAGATTTCAATATTCTGGGAATTTATTGCGATACTGATACACATTTCAATATTCTGGAAATTGATCACGATACTGATACACATTTCAATATTCTGGGATTTTATTTCGACACTGATACACATTTCAATATTCTGGGAATTTATCATGATACCAGATACAGATTTCAATATTCTGGGAATTTATTGCGATCCTGATACACATTTCAATATTCTGGGAATTTATCATGATACCAGATACAGATTTCTATATTCTGGGAATTTATTGTGATCCTGATACACATTTCAATATTCTGGGAATTTATCATGATACCAGATACAGATTTCAATATTCTGGGAATTTATTGCGATATTGATACACATTTTAATATTCTGGGAATTTATTGCGATACTGATACACATTTCAATATTCTGGGAATTTATCATGATACTAGATACAGATTTCAATATTCTGGGAATTTGTTGCGATACTGATACACATTTTAATATTCTGGAAATTTATTGTGATATCAGATACACATTTCAATATTCTGGGAATTTATCATGA